AAATATTCTGTGTTCATATTATTATGGCACATAGATACTGTTTATTGCTAAACCACATAGGAAACCAGAGTTATATTTCCTTGAACAATTTTTTGTTTTCCTAGAGTTAATAGTTCTGTAATTTTGAAAATTTTTGATTAGTTCTTTTGCATCTGTGGGAGCAGCTCAGTACTGTTTTCCAACTTTCCAGCATCAAATTATCAGATGACTTATAGGTTTGTTCCTCCCATTCCATCGCCCCCCTCCCCACACCCCTCCCCCCTGGCCCCACCGCCCCCAGAGTCTTCCGTCTTGCTAGGACCATCTTGCTAGGTCTGAATTGAATGCTTACTAAACCTGGTATTCACCTACTGTCCTGGGCCTTTCCTTCACCTCTTCAGTTAATTTTACTATCTCCTTAGTCTCCCATCTTCCTGTTTCTTGGTTTATTTCCTCCCTTGTTTGTAAGGTTCATACATCAGTGGCTCCTTCAGGAGAAAGGCAGGGACTTAAGTTTTTAGTCTTTGTGTATCTGTCCAGTTGATTGTTTGGCTGGATATAAAATTATATGTTGTAAATTAATTTCCCTCAGAAATTAGAAGGTGTTCTTCCATAATCTTCTCATATGGCATTTGGTAGACTTTAAAGAGCATAGTTATAAATATTTTTAGGCTTTGTGAGACATGGTGGTCCTTGTTCTGATGTAAAAACCATCTTTAGTTCACAGGCCTTACAAAAACAGGTCATGTGCCATAGTTTGTCAACCCCTGTCTATTATGTTTTGTTGTCTTTGTAGAGGGAGGATCAGAGATCGGTGGAGCATCTGATGCTTAAACATGAGCCATTTCTATTTAGGAGTGAGGCACTAAGACCCTAATCATAGGCTTTGTGAGTTGGCTTTCATCATAGCAAGATTGGAAACAAGCTGGCTTTTTTCTTTGGGGGACCAAGGATCATTTGCTGAGATTTTTTTCTTTAGGGCTGTTCAGAATCTTCCAGTATCCTACACAGAGGGAGAGTCTCTTGTCTTCTTGCCTTCCACTCTGCTGGTGGCACTCAATCTCCAAATCCCAGCTATTCAGTTCATAAGAAACAAACCTTCTGGTTCCCTGAAAGGGGGAGTGGGTATGGAACTCTGGAGAGGGGACTCAGTCCCGTTTTGGTGAGAAGTAGGAATGAGCACCTAGGCTCTCACTTGCTTCTGTAGCTCTTCCCCTCCAGCTGCGGTCCCAGGCCTCACAGCAGACTTTGCCGTGGCACTTGCCTCTAGTTCTCCGTGGAGGATCAGCCATTCTTAGTGGCATCCTTCTGGGTGGTACAGTGGTTTCCTCCCATGCCATTTAACATTCCTCTCATTTACTATCTATTCCCCTTCTATGCCCCACCTTAAAATGTGCCACCTGGCATCTGCTGTTGTCTCCTTTCTGATCATTTTTCTCCACGTTAATTTATAGCCTTTGCAGTCCCCTCCTGCCATTTTATTTGGGTTTGAGAAAAAAAAAAAGAAACACGTGTTTAGTCCACAGTGTTTATCTGTGGTAAGTTTATTTCAGTACACAAAGTAGTATTTCTGAAGGAAAAGCCCATATTTTAAATTCTGTTCCCATTTCTACTTCAGGCATTTGAGAATGTTCTTTGATTTTGATTAAACCATTTGAATCTGTTGAATTTGCTGTTGTATGTGCCTCTGGCTTTGGGGTAAAACTTCTTTCAGTTAACATGGTATTGAACTGAAGATTATTACAAAAAGGAAAGAATCCATTAAATGTTTTAAATTAAACAGATTTAAAGCTTAGCCCTATATTTCCATTGGGAAAATTTTTGAAGATAATTTAGAGAGAAGGTATCTTCTCTTGAGTGGCAGGAGAAGTATTCATTTGATTGGCCTCGTGGCTCTCTCTTACTTCCTGGAAATTGTTAGTCTAATTTCAGGAAAGACTGAAGAACTAAGTGATAAACAGAGACAAAAACAAAAAAGGAGGGGCTTACTTCACTCTGAATGACACTCTCTAGGTCCATCCTAAAAAGTTTAAAGTTTGAAAAAAAAAATATATATATATATATATATTTTTTTTTAAAGGGGAGAGGCCTAAGATTTGGTTAACTCAAATTGAAATTCCCCTTAAAAAGGCAAAAGAGAATAAAGTTAACAGCTAAAAACCAAAGTAGATTTTTTGACCCAAAGAGGTTTTTAACTCATTCCTTAAATAAAGCATCATAAATGTGAATTAAACATAATACATATCCTGTTAACCAAGTTATCTTATGTATAATTAGTGCTACTAATTCTTTTTCCCTTTCCTGTACTTCTTCAGATTTTGTATGTCCCTTCTGGAATATAAGATTAAAATATGATTGAAAAATTATAAAACATTGAGTAAACTCATGATCAACTGATATTTTTCTGTCTTAATGGCACACATACCTGAGTGTTTCTATGAAAAATGTTTATTTTAAATAACCACATTCAGATGGTAAAATGTTGGTCTACGGGCTTCACTGGTGGCTTAGTGGTAAAGAATCTTCCAGCCAATGTAGGAGATGCGGGGTCAGTCCCTGGATTGAGAAGATCCCCTGGAGAAGGAAATAGTAACCCACTCTCGTATTCTTGCCTGGGGAATCCCATGGACAGAGGAGGGTCACAAAAGAGTCAGACATGACTGAGCGACTACACAACAATTTAATTACATAATTACACAGATGCTATTAAAAGTTGAAATTAATTGGTTTGATTTTTCAACCACAGTTGCCCCTTGAACAACACAGGTTTGGATAGTGTGGGTCCACTTACATGCAGGTTTTTTTCAATTAAATACTACAGTACTACACAATCTGCAGCTGACTGAATCTGCAGACACAGAACCATGGATACGGAGGACAGACTGCTTTGATCAACTGTCACAGTCTTTGGATGAATATTAAATTACATAGTATTACTTAGCATAAACATTTTTTTAAGTAGTCTACTTACACATTCACCTGTTATTGTAACTAATTAGGCACAGCTGATGGATTTTGATAATAGCAGCTGTCAACCTCTGTTAAAATCAATCCTTGGCAAGATTGTATATATTAAATCCTGTATCATGTCATGAAAATTTATTTACACTTTAACCACTAATAAGCACAGCTGTCAGCTTTGGTGTTGATATTTTCATGATGTTTTGGCCCCAGGTATTTTTTAGTTGTATGCTAATTTTTTTAAATTTAAAACTTAGTGGTCTCTTTGAGACAAACTATCCTAATGCCTTATAATATGGCATTCTTTAAATAAAAACTTTTTACTGTTCCCTAGAGTTGAATATTACCTTGAAAATATCCTCCCTTTTTTTAGTTCTCTTTATTTTTTGAGTTAGTGAAGCTAAATTTTTTAATATCAGAATTTATATTTCCAAGTGAGTATTCTTGAAAGTAGCATTTATTCCATTGATAAACCCATTGTGGGAGCCATCTGTAACCTCTGTTTTGATACTGATTTGAAAGTCTTTTTAACCACTCATTAATATAATTTTATTACTTCCAGTTACTTCTTAATGAATGTTGAAAATGTGACCACTAAGCTTCTTTCACCAAACTTGGCCTTTCAGGAAGTTAAATACCAATAGGAATTTCTTCCTCCTTCCTTTTGGCTTCTTTCCTCCTGTTACCTCTCTAACTCTAGATAGAATATGAACAATTTATTTAATCTCAGCTTGCTCTTTAATAAATCAAAGTTAAGATTTCTAGGTCTCTTTATAATGAACATGCACGACTTGATCTGGAGGTATTTTAATGTAGTGTCTTTAAAATTATCTAACTAAATGTATTACTTCCAAGCGTAATGTTTCCAAGACGTCACTTAACAGTAATGATTATTATAATAACTCGTGAACACTTAAGAAATTCTCTGTTCTGATCTTGTTTTATCTACACAGACATTCACTACATACGATTTGAAGGAAAGATTCTTAATAAGAAGTTTATAAACTGTGGTCAGGTAGAGAGCCAGATCTGGAGATAACAGACACATGCCATGTGCACTCAGGGCATCCAGCAAATCTGTTATGAAGATTCTATCAGGGCTGTGGCATCCTGTTTTCAGAAGTAGAAGTAGATTGCACTTCATGCTGAGAGAAATTAGTGACTTCTGCCACATGTTTGAAAGATCAATTGCATTTTTATCATACTTTATATTCTCTGTTGACAATTTATGTTCTGTGCCTACCAGTAACATTTGTTGAATGCTTATGTCTACCCAGAATAGCCAGTATTCTTGCGTGGAGAATCACATGGACACAGGAGCCTGGCGGGCTATTGTCTGTGGGGTCTCAAAGAGCCCGACACAACTGAGCAACTAACACTGACTCTTCACTCTTTCACTTACTTGTATGCCAGGCGCACTGCTAGCACTTGACGTGAATCAGATCTTTTACTTTTCATAACAACCCTTATGAGATAGGTTCAGTTATTATCTCCATTTTTGTGTTGTGGAAGCTGACGCACAGAGAAATTAAGTAATATTTACTTAGTGAAGGAGCTGAGCGTAAACCCAGAGAATCCAGGCTTTAGGGCTTGTGTTCTTAACCATTAAGCTACACTGCCTTGTGGAAACCTATATGCTTAGGTTTTATAATGGAATATTTAGCTTATTTTCTTTGGTGGTTCGAGTGGAGGAGGAAAAGGAGGTAGGGGCTGGAGCTCTGTAGGCTGAATTAGAAGTTATTATGCCTTTCAGTGGATGTTTGCAGCCAGAAAAGTACTGAGACCTTCTGCCTTAAGGAAGTGCACGCTTAGTCCCTCAGTTGTGTCCGACACTTTGGGACCCCACAGACTATAGCCCACCAGGCTCCTCTGTTCATGGAATTTTCCAGGCAAGAATACTGGAGTGGGTTGCCATTTCCTACTCCTACTATGCCTCAAGGAAGTGTTTAGCTTAATTTCTGTCTAGTTCATTAAAGTTCTGACTTATGACATTTTAATCTTATATCTTCATGGTCTGTATTTCATGAAACATTTTTTGATAAATTCTTTTGTTTCTGCAGAAACTCAAACAGAAGAATCAACAGCTGAAGCAAATTATGGATCAATTACGAAATCTCATCTGGGATATAAATGCCATGTTAGCAATGAGGAACTAAACTGATATTTAAATTTCCGGCTTTACACATGTTACACTGTTTTTTTTCCCCTCAAGTTATTTTTTCTCTTTGAAGATTATTTATCTGCTTTCAGTCTAGTCACTAGAATTAAAGTTTCTATTTTTTACACTGTGGTTTTACATTAAAGTATTCACTGGTGGTTTTTAAAAAAGCTATTGATTCTGTGAAAGACTACTGTAATACATTTTGATGAGATTTGTTTTTGGTTATTCTTCATGAATTGAATAGTTTTTTAAAAGCAAAAATAATTAACTTTCGTAAATAAATTTCTAAATTTGATCACTGATTGTTTTGTTCATTTCATTACCCTTTTAGGAGAAAATTAAAGGTTTAATTAAACATTCTTGCAGATGAAAATACCAAGTTCAGTCCATCTGTGGTACAAATTAAACATAAAAGTTACCATTTGAGCTCAATTTTAAAATTTTAGTTTGAGTCCCAATTAAACATAAAAGTTACCATTTGAGCTCAATTTTAAAATTTTAGTTTGAGTCCCAATAAAGTCTCTTGGACTGCAAGGAGATCCAACCAGTCAATCCTAAAAGAAATTGGTCCTGAATATTCATTGGAAGGACTGATGCTGAAGCTGAAACTCCAATACTTTGGCCACCTGATGCGAAGAGCTGACTCATTTGAAAAGACCCTGATGCTGGGAAAGATTGAAGGTGGGAGGAGAAGGGGATGACAGAGGATGAGATGGTTGGATGGCATCACTGACTCAGTGGACATGAGTCGCTCAGTCATGTCTGACTCTGCAGCCCCATAGACTGTAGCCCACCAGGCTCCTCTGTCCATGGAATTTTCCAGGCAAGAATGCTGGAGGGGGTTGCCATTTTCTCCTTTGGGGGATCTTTCTGACCCAGGGATCGAACCTGTGTCTCCTACATTGGCAGGTGGATTCTTTACCACTAGTGCCACCTAGGAAGCCCAAAGGTATATGAAGTTATGACAAAAAGACAGTTATTCAATCTGCCCTAGTAGTCTGCAGTATCTAAGGGTTTTACAGTTTATTTAGCCTATCATCAGGTGGACACATATGGGTTTTTCTTAAAGGTTTTCACTGTATGTTCTTTGCATAGTAGATTGCAGATCACTACTGGGAATTTAGTGTTTTGATACTGACAACTTGTAAAACAGTTATAAAAAATGTTTTAACCAAGTGGGGTTTTCTGTTGTTGTTTTTAATCATACTCAACTCCTTAGATCATTCAGGGTGTCACAAACTGAGCTCTTGAAGGGAATGTGGAAACTGCATCTTTGGGGGCTTGATTCTATAGCTAGCCTCTCTGTGGAGCAAGAATCAATGCAGCTACTCAGCTACAGAGCAGGAGCCCCAAATTCTGGGAACCTTGAATTCTCTGTTCTCAAAGTCCTCAAAACTAGTCACTCACTAGTCTACTTGAGACTGGCTATGTGTTGTGCTAAGTTGTTTCAGTCATGTCCAATTCTGTGACCCCATGGACTGTAGCCCACCAGGTTCCTCTGTCCATGGGATTCTCCAGGCAAGCACGCTGCAATGGGTTGCCATGAGCTTCTCCAGGGGATTTTCCTGAGCCAGGAATAAAACCTATGTCTCTTATGTCTCCTACATTGGCAGGCAGGTTCTTTACCACTAGTGCCACCTAGGAAGCCCTGCTTATGTGTCGAGGGTTATTAAAAACAGACTCCCCTAACAAAGTTTCAGCTTTTCCTTGAGGGACAGCATGCCAGGAGACTGAAGAGCCAAGCAGAAAGGCAATTCAGTCATGATGTGTGGCCTTGCACAAATGAATCTCAGTTTTCTTGTCTGTACAATAGTGGGATTAATTGATCTTATATTCTGTGTTAGAATTTTAGTTGCAAATGTTCAAAACCCAATTCAAAATGGCTTAAGCCAAAAAGGGAACTTACTAGTTTGTGTAGCAAGAAATGATGCTAGAACAGTGCTCACAGCAGCATAGAAAAGCTGCAGAAACCAAGGCTTCAAGAAATAGAACCAAGATTCAATGCCCTAGGATTCTCTTTGCTTACCCCTAATTTCCACACTCTTTCTGCTTCATCCTCTGCTACTGTAGACAGGCTTTCTCCATATGTTGGGAAAGAGCCTCCCACTGGCTTATTACATCTTTTCCATGCCCTGACCCCAGAGTCTGGGCCCCTTCTCCCACTCTTACGTTAAGAACTAGAGTGGACACTAATGAGCATAGCTTGGGTCATGGAACCAACCTTTGGACCAACTGTTCTGTACCTGGGTACTATGGTTAGACCACCCAGGTTATAAGCCCATCTCTCTGGCTAGGAATTGGGTGTGAAAATCATGGAAAAGTTACTGAGCACGGAACACATATTAGGAGGAAAAGAACCAATCAGAAAAATTTGTAAGAAAAACCTAACAACAACAGCAACCACAGTCCACTGCTGTTCTTCCTTGGTTCTAATACTATCTCAGATAACGTAAGTTATTCAACTTCAAAAACCTAACAAAAGCTTAGAGAAAACTAAATGCATCACTGACTATCATGAGAAAATTGTTAATTTTTTTTCTTGATTTGTAGTCTTCTGTGTTGACATTTTTCTTTGCAGTCTTTTGTTTTGTTTTGGAAGTTTTTCAATAAATTGCAATGTGATCTTATCAGGTCTTGGTTAGCCTTGCATGGGTTAAAACAGAAATAGAAAAGAGCTAAGAAAAAAATAAAATGAAAGCTCTAGCATCCTGGTAATGAAATTATCTTTAAAATGATTTGGAAAGCTAAGGCCCTCATCATTCAAGCATTAGATCCTTTGGCACCATTATAAGCCAAAATGTGTTAACTTGACATTTTGATGTAGTTCCAGTTTCAGTAATTCATTTTCTTTTCCTTAAATTCCCAAGGAAGTTTAAGCTAGATAGAGGAGTCTTTCGGCCTTAAACTAAAATGTGTACTTTGTCCTAAAGCTCAAAGACTTTGTTATCCTGAGTATTCTTAAATTTGTGCAACATAACTAGATGCCTTAAAATTTTTCGTATTCCTTTAAAACATTTGTGGTCCAAGGACTGTTTTTCTTAAGACTAAATTGAAAGGTATTCCAGATGTGTATGTATTTTTAACATGGAAGCAATCTTGAATTCTTTCATATCTTTTTTTAAAACTTGAAGTAGAGTTAATATATTTAAGTTAATATCTTTATCTTTTTACAGAGGGTTGAATTGTATACTAATGCATTTATATCACTAAATGTATGAATGTACTGATGATTCGTTCATGCATGCACTTTTGGGGGAAAATTCTTACTGTTGTCAATATGTAATTTGCATTCCCCAAACAGTTCAAAAGTTAAAGGGAAAAAGAAAACCTATATTTTCTCTGTACTTTGAAGTCTTACTCTTCTATGACACAGGATCACAAGATCACCAAGTGGCATGAGCCTAAGGTTGTCCAGAACTACCTTAACTTGTCTTAATTTATTCAGATTACTTTTTGAGGCAGTACGTCATCAAGCTCAGCAAACACAGGAATCAAGTGGGGCGCACTTAAAAATGCTGATTTTGGATTTAGCGCAACTTTACTGAATCAGAATCTCTACGGTAGGGTCTAAATATATGCATATTTAATGACAAGTTAATCAAGTGCACTGGAAAAACATTTTTTTCTATGCAGTTCAGTGATAGTCATGAGTATTTTAACATAAAAAATTCTTTAAAATAGCAGTATTGATATAAAATGTTTCATGCCATATTTAGAGTTCTAGCCTTTTAAGTATTTAAAAATAATGCTCTACATGAGTAGTTCTCAACCTTGGCTTGAACATTAGAATCAACTGGAAAAATGTTAAAACTCCTGTACCAAAGCCATGTCCCAGGCCAATTCAATCAGGGTGGCTAGAGTGGGATCCAGGCAGCAATATATTTTAAAGCTCCCGAGTGATTCCAACCTTCAGCCAAGGTAAGAGGCATTGCTGTATGTAGATTTATGAGCATGGAAATAATCTGGAAGGATTGATTTTTCCAGTAACAGTTAAATATTTGGAGCAAAGAACTTCAAGAGGACAAAACCCTAAAACTCACCTATACACCAAGGTATTTTTTAATTTACTTTTTATTGAAGCACAATTGCATTACAGAATTTTGTTGTTTTCTGTCAAACCTCAACATGAATCAGCCACAGGAATACATATATCCCCTCCCTTTTGAACTCTCCCATCTCCCTCCCCATCCCACCCCTATAGGTTGATACACAGCCCCTGTTTGAGTTTCCTTAGCCATACAGCAAATTCCCCTTGGCTATCTATTCTACACATGGTAATGTGAGTTTCCAGGTTACTCTTCCTATACATCTCACCCTCTCCTCCCCTCTCCCCAAGTCCATCCACAAGTCTATTCGCTATGTCTGTTTCTCCACTGCTGCCCTGTAAGTAAATTCTTCAGTACCATTTTTCTAGATTATGTATGCGTTAGAATATGATATTTATCTTTCTCTTTCTGGCTTACTTCACTCCATATAATAGGTTCTGGGTTGGAAACCAACGTATTTTTGACTGTACACTCTCATGTGTCAGGGGCAAAAAGCCCTCACTCTTCTCAGCCACAATCAAACTGACTAGGGAAAAACTGAAGAGAGAACGCCATCTAGTCAACAACTTTTAGAGGCAAAGGAAAATCAGACTGATGCATGATCTTCTGTCCTTACAGGTCATAACCATTTCAAGACATTAGAGAGGTTGAGTGAAAACAAAACAAAAGAGAAAACAAGACACTTCCTGTTCCTCATTTCATGCTGAACATGGCCATGTCTTGTTTTAAGACTGATAAAATAACTAACCTGTATTTATAATTTATTTATTTAACAGCCATTTGTAGATCACCTACAGGCTCTGAGCACCAGGTAAGGAGGTGGATATACCAAGAGAGAAAGGACCCTTTGCTCAAAGGTTACAGAATTCAAGCTAGAAGAGAACTGTCCATATACACAAACTCCAGGCTTCTCAGATGACTTCTTTACAAATTAGAGGCTCAGCAACCA